AAAAAATTTTGGAACGCTTCACGAATTTGCGTGTCATCCTTGCGCAGGGGCCATGCTAATCTTCTCTGTATTGTTCCAATTTTAGTATATGTTCAGGAATGAACAAACGCTTATTCAAGGTGCTCGTATTTATAGCCACCTACACCTGTGCTGCGTATCTTTCACGGGCTACTGGTGTGTCTGAGCATAGCGTAATTGTGCTGCTCTCATTAGGGGGTCGCACTCCCTCTACTGGATTACGTCCCTATTTCATTGCACGAGAGAACTTTTCCTTTCACACTTTTGAAACTACAAGTGGAAATTTCAGATGTAGTCCTTTTAGTTCCTGGAAGAAGAAATATCACAAATGATTTCTAAAATGTGGTAAGCCTTCTAAATAACTATAATTCTGTCAATGGTTTCAGAAACTAAATGAATTTATTCCTTAAATAAAACACGGCTCATTTTGACGCAGTTCATTTGCTCATTTAGTACTGGTAGGTTCAACTTATACTTCTTGGCTTTCGTTCCTTACAACATTCTACTTCTCCCACTATATGGCCCTACGATTACTAGGAAACGGAAAAAATTTTGGAACGCTTCACGAATTTGCGTGTCATCCTTGCGCAGGGGCCATGCTAATCTTCTCTGTATTGTTCCAATTTTAGTATATGTTCAGGAATGAACGAGCTGACGACTTGGGCGGTCGTATTTATGGCCACGGTGCATAGCGCATCGTATGTTGCACGGGGTCAGGTAATTGCAGAGTGTACGATAAGTTCTACACCTGATATAAAAGCACTATGACCGAAGTGGCACTTATTCCTCTATGAAGTAGGCGATAGCGATGGCTGAAAGGGCCTAAATTAGAAACAAACAGCTGAGTAGAGCACCTTTGTCAGAAACACTATAAGTACACCAAGACTGTTCATGGTCCATGTATAGGATTGACCAGAGACTACTCGGTGAAGTAAACCTTGTGAATACTGAGCTTTTCCTCGAATTTTCATTTATTCAAGGTTTGATGGAGGTGGCGTAGTTGTAAATAGCGTACTATCACCCACATATGGTCACTTGATCGAACCCTGGATTGATTCTCGCTTAAGCCTTCCCAGCCTTCCGCCCCTTTGGAGACCTAAACGGCACCAGTCTTGTCTGGGAGGGATAAGGCTCGTATGAAGTGATTTTCAGGTATTCCAGTCAAACGCTACTACTACGATACTGGTCTCGAGTCGAACGTGAACGAGCGCGTGAGTGAATCCCAAGGAGTATAGGGTTATTGCCAGAATGTACCCCTCTTTTGAAAGCTAAATGATCGCTCATATGTCAGATAAAGCTCAAAGGCCCTTGGGAGGATTCTTTTAGATGCCACATTTTCTAAGAGCGCCCCCTCCTCCTTCCAGTTTACCTTTCTCGTTCAGGTGAAGGCTTCCCGTAGCGCTCTATATCCCAGCCAATGTTGCCTTTATCGACCTCTAATGCTGGTTGACCTTCATCTCGTTAGATTAGCTTCATTTACACCTCTAAATTGCACCAACACTTTGCGCAGGCCACCTGCCCATTGAGGTTCTCCCTACATGTTTACTACTATAGGTAGCTTACCTTCAATCTTACAAGAACGGAATCCTTTCCAGCATGCAGTATCGCATAAGGGAGGGCTACGGAAGTTACCGTCAGACTGATACTTAAAAATGGTATTGTCTACATGTGGAGAGATGAAAAATTCCTATGAAGAGGATGAAAACAGGATTTACATCAGGATGCGTCATGTTCAGTTCAAGAGGGAACCGATCACTCAAATCCTTGGAGGTATTCAAATATTTGGAGATGAAAATGTGGTTACAAGAGAGTAGCTGGCTTTTCAAAATTTTATTCAATTTTTGTTTCCCCTCGAAGTCAACAGAAGCCAAATTTATGACTCGTATTAAGCTCCAGAAAAAAGGACAGTGAAAAGTTTACTCACTGAAATGTTAACCAGTATGGGAAAGTACGGTTACTTAATGGGAACAGCATAGTTACAACATGCTCAACGACCACCCATAACCTGCAGAAGGTACGCAGCGCATATACAGGTGGCTATAAATTCGCCCGTTTGGCATCAGATCTTGTTCATTCCTGAACATATACTAAAATTGGAACAATACAGAGAAGATTAGCATGGCCCCTGCGCAAGGATGACACGCAAATTCGTGAAGCGTTCCAAAATTTTTTGTNGGAGGAAAATAAGAGATAGAGAATGGGCGTCACAGATTACCTTCCAAACTTGAAACTACAGCGACTAATAAATCGTAATCCTCTATGCAAAATGTACATTTCATCGAAACCTCATTCAAAAAAAATTTTAGACGTTGGTATGTGCTGCTGAGATGCACCTAAAACTTTGGCATTTTTCTGATCATTGCCTATTCTATTGAAAAATTTGGTGGTTGCGAGATAATATTTGAATACTGTCGACGAAGGAAAATGAAAGTCGACTTTTCCAACTCCAATTGAAAATGCACCTCAACAGGATCTAATAGTTATAAGCCATCTACGACTTTTCCCTTAGGGTTCAATGGTTGATACTACATGATCTTAACGTTGTTTGGAGCCTGAAAGGATATAAGGCATGCCGATGGAATGCCTTACATCCTCACCAAAATCTCTGAGCTCTCTGAGCTACAATGCTTATCAAAATCATGATTCTTTTATGAGCCATTTGAAATGATAAGGGACTTGTCGGATAGTTGAGCCAATAGGCCATAGATTGACTCACACCTTCTCAGGCATAGAGGGAGGAAAAAAGTCGATAAGTGGATAAAAATAGGCTCTCAAAGAAATTCCTGAAAATCGAGAAAATTTACTATTCAGA